GATTAACAATGTTGAAGCGGAAAGTGAAATAGTTCTCATCGAACGCATCTTTCACTGCCTCTTGCGCGCTGCTGAGACAGCCACACCGTATGGCAAATTCCACAAGCTACGCACAGGCTGAGTATTGAACCCTTCAGTTTGCATGTTCTTTAGGTACTTTCTAGCTTCAATTCTAGCCGCCTCACTGCCATGTGATCATATTACACTGCTCCCCAATCGAAGCGACCCTCGGGCTGATCAGTGCCATATAACTGCAGTCAAAACATCTAGTTAGACATGCCACTTCCCCGGAATTTCGAGAAGTACTACGTTGTGATCGGGTCACAAAACTGCCCAGTCGAAGCGGCCCTCGGGTTGATCACTGCCATGTGATCATATTACACTGCTCCCCAATCGAAGCGACCCTCGGGCTGATCAGTGCCATATAACTGCAGTCAAAACATCTAGTTAGACATGCCACACGCAGGACAAAGGCTGGTGAAGTGCAACACCACGTGCCTTGGCCTGAGCAGATACACCGTCTACCACTTTTGCCTACAATCTCTCGCCTCTTCCCGATTCGTTCTTTGATCTCGGCACGCGGCACAGTGCTCTATTCGCTTGCAGGAAGCGAGTCCAAGGAACCGACAAGTCTACATAGCAAGGCAATTTTCCAAAAGTATCAAACGGTTTCGTCTGTGCGTGTTTAATCAGCTGATTATAAGGGACTGGCTTTGCATCGCCCAGAAAGTAATATACGCACGTCGTGCAAGACACCGATACGTTTCGTCATGAGATAACGTTGACACGAATTTACGCGAACCACCTTCCGCTACTCAGTGCCTCAGTATGGCTGTTTTCTCCTGTGTAAAAACATGCGCTTGTTCCGTGATTGCGTACAGGGTAGGGTCGCAGCTGTTCTTCTTCTTCTGGAAGCGTCTCCATCTCTGCGGGAAAAGCAGGAGCTGACTTGAAAAATTTGAGGCACTGCGCAGCAAAAAAAGCGGCAAGCAGGGTACCAGCTAAAAACAAGAAAAACTTATTACGCAAAATCCCAGGGCTCTTTGGTGCATGAGCTTGCAGAACCCCAGGTGACGGCATGTTTCCCAATGAAGTCGTCACGCCAACCTCCAGAGGAGATATTTCAGCACCTTGAGCCAGAGTCCCTGCTGCCATAGCTGCAAAGCTGAAAAAGACAATTTTATAGAGACTAGGACGATCCATTTTAAAAACGTGCAGGCAGACGATGGTAGTCTTCTTCGCGGGCAAGTGCCTCTCGACTCCCTACAGTCAAACGCCGTCTACCACCAAACGCGTACGCTTCAAATAAAAATGGATTTGAAAGCTTGAAGCAGCTCAAGTTCTTTTTAAAATAAAGTGTGCGTACGTATTCCGGAAGGAGGGACGACTACGGCTTCCAGTCATGGCGCATCCATTATGCATGGGGCTTGTGTCCCAGCTTCTCCCGAGACCGCTCACGACTCCCGGGAGGCGGACACAAACTTCGGTGCAGGGTAAACTGGCCTCATCAGAACCTAGATTTATTGTATTGTAACGTCGCTTTTGTGTGGGTTTTTTTATTACAGGATCTCGAAGCTATGCACAAGCAGACACTATCTGCTTCAAAAATTCAAAATCCCGTAATTTTCGTAGTCAGTGGGTGGCAAAGCAAGGGCAATGCGCTTTCTTACCAATAATAAATGCCGCACAAAAACACCACACTGCGTACATAACTATTTAAATGCATGTTAAACGCATGCTGCATTTTTTGGCGTCAAATTGACCGGTTTGTTCTTCATATCCTGCGCTGCTACCACGCGCGCGCCTTCCAACGTATGCCTCCACAATTGAAATTCGGGCGTTTGTCCTGCATCTCTGCTGATAAATTTCTCACATCCGTTAATTTTCATTTGTTTTTTAATAGTTTCACACTATTTCTTCTGCCTGGAGCCTGGAAGGCCCGCTAGTCCGTGAAACGAGCGCCGACTTCTAACCTCGAGAGACAGTACCGACCTGTCTTCTTTCCAAGTGAAACAATCGGACCCAAAGTAAAGCACTTACGCTTTACATGTTTAAAAAAATATTAAAAGTGTACCGGCGTGATTGGACCCAATGTTGCCTTTGGGAAGTCTGATGCAGTAGGCTATTGTGGCGGGGCGGTCAGGCCCGCGTTGTATCCACACCAAATATTGTGTTCTTGCAATTATAAGGAGGTACACAAATGTAACCAGGAGGAGCAGCGTTTCCGTCTTGAGTGTTCAAGAAGCGACAAAGAGTAATGTGCCAAGAAGCGACACAGAGTTATGTGCCCCGGCGCTTCCTCATATGAACCTTGGCCTGACTAGCCTGCGCTGGCACTTCAAATTGAGCAGCACGCATGAGCTTCTGAGCTCTCAAAGCACCTGTTCAAAGCGATTCAGCGTTCGCTTGCGCTTCAGTATGTTTGGCCTGTGGAAGTTATTTTGACTGGAGACGAGGTACAAGAAAGAAGCCTCGAAAGCGGCTTCGAATACGGTGAGAATCAATAAGCAGCTACAAAGCGTTTATATGGACTATTTGGAGGTGCGAGCATGCCGAATTCTTTCTAAGGCAGAACAAACAGCTAGAAAATTAATTCGAACCAACCAGAGTATTTTCCGGCCATCAGCGTTTGCGCTGCTCCTCTACTATGGAATCGGTGAAAGCCGCTGGCGCAGCAGCAAACGGAGCCGCAGTAGCGTAGTGTGGGCTCAGGCTGCCCTCCGTTGGCACCGTAGTGCCGAGGAATAGGCCTTCTCGGGTTGAGCTCGAGAAGAAGCCTCGCGGCAAGTAGAGACAACTGTCATCCAACAAGCGGCAGCACTCAGCCGCTGATGCACTAAAGGAGGGCCCCAAGGACAGGAATAGCTGCATCACGAGTCAGACAGAGCACACTGGGAAAGGAAAAAGATAGAAGAGAGGAAATCATAGTACCTTTCTTTCTAAGCAACAACTCGAAATAGCGCAGCACTTCGAAGAGAAGAAACCCCGCAACAGGAGTTATGTAGGCGGTATAGTGTGTATTTTTTGAGAGAGTTCGGAGGGAACAACTAGACGGCTAGCTGTGGGAGATGCAGTGCCTGCTTTTGATTCTGGCTGGCTAAGCATTAATGCACTTTTCCATGAAGAAAACCTTACCTCCAGTCGGACACGAATATCGGGCACGGCTTCCTGGAGCAGCCTGAGGATGTTGCTTTCTGCAAATTCCTTCAGCGTCTCCCAGGCCTGCTGCGACTTGCTGAGTGCTTTTGCCGCTGCACCTGTGGGCTGCAGCAAATATGCGTCGGCATCTACAGAAAAATCCGCAGTGTAAGTTTCCGCGTCATGCTCCTCTATGCCGGGAACACGGAACGGTCTTCGAGTCTCAGCGCTGTTTTCCTTCACATTGTCTTGCATATTGCCTTTGTTGCCGTTGATGCAGGGCTGCTTCGGATTCTCGGTGTGGCAGCCTGACAAGTCAAACTCTCTGAGGTGCAGAGACACGAGCACTTTCAGTGCATCTTTGCTGAGGCTTTCACCCCACATCCCCTGTGGGAGGTTTGGCGGCTGTTGCTGGCGTGGGCTTTGCTGTGGCCCGACTCTAAGCCTCCCCGGACCAATGTCTGCACCCTCGTAAGACTTATGGAATGCCTTGTCATTTGCTGCAGCAAAACGCTGTTCGAGAGGCCGGCCCAAAAGCTGAGAGAGGTAGGGCAAGCGGCCATTGAGAATGACCTGTCTATACACTGCGCGCGGCCAGGCTAGTTGCACAACACCACCGTATATGTGATGATAAGCCTGGGACGCAGAAAAAGCAAAACAGCGGCAGCCAAGCACACACATTGCAGGTGGCAGAAAATGCACAGTCTTCTCCGGCGCAAGAGCAGAAGCAGCAGCCTCTACCTTGCACTGGAGAACAACGAGGACAACACACAATAGCCCGAAGCACTTAATAGTGTGAATCTCTGCATGCATGGCCGTGGTATGTGCTTCTTTGCCCCTGTGTTTCTGCTGTTTCTCCGCTTGCCTGAGCAGTTAGACCGGACACTAGAGCGTCGGGATGCAATTCGACGAAAAGCAGCACCTGAGAGACGGACAGGTGCAAGAATTGCAAATAAGGACCACACAGGCCTACAGACAGTGCGGCTGCCTCCTCAGATTCCCTAACAGCTTCTGCAACCGCAGCAGCCCCTGTTGTTGTTGCTGCTGCTGCAGCTTCAGCATTCCCAAAGGGATCCGTCCGTTCCTCTCCATCCCTTCCACTGAGCCCCTTAAAGGCAGACCCATCTAACGAAAAGAGGTGACTGCGAAACCAAGAGGATCGTTGCTGCTGTATTGTGTCCACTGCTGCTGCATCATTAGTTGCTGCTGATTGCTGCTGTTGTGGAGAGCTCGCTGCTGTGTCAGACGTTGCGAGACTTGACAGCAGCAACGGCAGTTCTGTGCCCTCTCTTAGAAATGCTTCAGCATCTTTAAAAGGATGAAGAACTCCTTGAAGAGCCGTGCCACAGTGCTGCAGCAGCTGAGACACTAGGAGGCGACCTTGCTTCTGTTGCTGTAGCTGCTTCTGCTGCAAAGACTGCCGCGAGAGCTGAAGCTCCACAGCGCGTAGCTGCAGCGCCACAAGAGCTGCATGGCGGCAGCAAGTCAAGTGCAGCGGCGTGCAGTCTGCTTCAAGGAAAAACCGCGAGGCCTGGAGCAGCAGCTGCAGCAGCAACACGAGCAGCAAGACGCAGCAGCACACGAGAAAACGCCACTGGCCAAAATTAAGGAGCCAAACAAAAACTCAGGGAAGCGAAAGAGGCAACACACCTGGAGACCAAGAGACAGACGGTCAGCACCCCGCTCGCAATAAAAGTCCTGCGGTGCCAATCCCATGGCGAGGCAACGAAAAGCCTCCTGCTGCAGGAGGAGACTGCAGCAAAGCAGAACTTGCACAAAAATGCACGCGTTGCAGGCACAGCAAAGTAGGTCCAGCAGCAAGGCCGCAGAAGGATTCATGGTGCAGCATTAACAGTACGAGCTCATGAAAACATCCACAAAGCATACCCGGCTTCCTTCTTAAACCCAAGTTCCCAATTCGCAAAAATCAGATTATCCAAGGAGACCTTCAGTGTCCTCTTTTCCCGCTCCTGCTGCGCGGAAGCCTCTGGCTGCAGCAGCTGCTGCAACTGCTGTTCATACTGGGAGTACAGCAGGTCACATATAGCGAGGGCGAGAGACTCACACACTTGTACTTCGGGTATAACGTTTGCCTCTAGCAGCAGCTGCTGCTGATGCAGCTGCTGCTGTTGCGTCTGCGGCTGCTGCTGCTTTATACCCTTACGGCAGGCTGCAAGCAACTGCAGCAGGTACCCTCCATCTAGCAACATCCTAAAAGCAAGTCAAGCAGCATATATTTAATATTCATGCCCCCCAAATTGTATGTACAAAAAAGGCGACAGCAGCACCACCAGCAATGAAGACAGCAACAGAAAAACCAGTGGCTACTGTGCTATTTACTGAATTGCTGGCTTGAAATGTGGGGAGGGGGAGATGGTCGTGAGAACGCGCAGCAGCAAATACGGTTTGCCGAGCTGCATATACATCTCAAGTCGCCGCTGTATCAGTTGCAGCAGCTGCAGAAGCCCCGCAGCGTTGCATGCGCGCTCTAGGTCATAGAAAGCAAGCAAAGACACCTCTACTTCTTGCTCATGCAGAAGCGGCAAAGAAGCAGCACACGCTGCAGCAGCACAAGAAGAGGCCACGTGCTGCAGCTGCAGCTCCTGCGCCCGCTCCGTCTCTTTGCGCTCTTGTTGAAGCAGCAGCTCCAACGCCTGTACGCCAGCGAGACCTGGAGCTTCGCAAACCCTCAGAAAGTCTTTTAGCAGCAGAAGTGGCCATTCAAACCATACTACCCGCTGCTGCCGCTGGGGCCCCTGCTGTGAGCTTGAACACTGCATGTGCTCGACTTGCAAGTGCTGCTTCTGATGGTCGATAAAAGCAGCAAGAAGCACAGCAGCAACCTGTTGCTGCTGCAGCTGGCCGTCTCTCGTTAACTTTGCAGCAAATCGCATGCAAAGCGTGATTTTGGGCAAGTCCGAGGTGGGGAAGGCACACGCCAGCAGCAAGCGCAGCAATAGGTCTTCCGGCCGTTGCTGCTGCTGCTTCAGAACCGCATTAAAAGGCGACACAAGAACAAGGCTCACAGCGAAAACAACGAGGAGCTCTAAGCAAAATTCATGCAACCCCGGCTTGCAGCGCTGCACCAGCTGAGACAACAGCTGCAACTGCTGCCGGTGCATTTGCAGCGATAAGAGGCGTTGCTGCTGATTGACGCTGTCTTCATGCTGCTGTACAACCTCATGCTCTTGTTGCTGCTTTCGCTGCTGCTGCTGTTCCTGAGCTGCAGAAGATCCTAGATGTTCCTGCAACATCTGCAGCAAATCTCTGTGGGGTTGGGGCAGAGAGCCAGCGTCGGGCCTGGTGCTGGCGCACGCAGCAGCAGCCGCAGCAGATAAGGTCTGCAGCAGGACTAGCTGTTGCTGCTGTGCCTTTAAAGGAATAGGTAGTGTGACCACGCGCAGCAGCAGCTCCGCGAGCTGCACCTCTTGAGACAGACTCTGAAGCAGCAGAAGGTGCTGTCGCTGCTGCTCGTCTTCTATTGACTTGGTATTTGGCGCAGCACCTGCAGCACTAGCGGGATGGGGCTGTCGCAGCAGGGTTAAGAAGTTCCCAACAAGAGACCTGGCAATGTGCGTGCAGCCAATTGATATGGAGTGGTGCACCGCCTGCTGCAGCTGGTCCAGCAGCACCGTGCAGGCTGGCTGCTGCTCCGGGGCCCCTCCTTGGGCCTTTTCTGCAGGCAGCAGCGATAAACTTTCTTCTGCGCTTTTCTCCTGGTGTTGCTGCTGGTGGCAAATGTCTTTGGCCTCCAAGTGGGCGCCTAGTGAAGGCGGCCATTGTGGGGCTGCCAAGTGGTGCAGAGGCAGAGCAGGAGCTTCAGGATCCACAAGCTGCTGCAGACGCTCCAGCAGCCGCTGCACATTGCTGCTGCTGTGGCAGGCTGGTAGAGGCGTTGCTGTTCCGTGGAGCAGCAACTGAGGCTCTGCTGCTTGATGCTCCCACAGGCTTCCCGTGAGCTCCGGTGTCAGTGCAGCAGTGGCAGCTGCTACAGTGGATTGAGAAGTCAGCAGCAGCAGCAGCCGGCCTTGCAGCTGAGCAAGCAACTGGGGGGAAACTAAGCACCTGCAGCAATTTTGGTCGCTGGTGCGTATGCTGCTTTCGTCGCTTTGAACAACTTTCTGGGTGTCCGTGTCGCTGCTGCATAAGCAGCAAAAGCTCTCATCATCTGCATGTGCATCAGATGCAGTCTCTGCTTGCCTTACCCAAAACACAGAACGCATTTCCTCGGGCTGCAGAGGCAGGCAGCCGATCAATGTCAATCCCCCCGCCCCAGTCGCACCGCCGCAGCTGCTGCTGTTGCTGCTGTCGCTGCTTCTGCTGCTGCTTCTGCAAGTAGTGCAGCTGCCCTGCGCGCAGTTAATGAGCTGCTGCACGATTGCATCACGGGTAGGAAGCGCTGGAGGATTGGGGTGCGGGGCTCCCAGAAGGCTCAAGGCAGCAGCCAGCAGGAAGGCCTGCTCCGCCAAACTGATATCCCCCTCCATTTGAGAAGACACAGAAAGCAGAAAGACTGCAGCAAGCACCGTAGGGTACTGGTGAATAGCAAACAGCCTATAGCAACGAGCCCAAACGTCCAGACGCTCTTCCACTGGACCCCTAGACTTCCGACCACTGGTGCTGCTGTTCCGAAGCCCTGTAAGGCACTCAGCAACTTCGTGCACTGTCACGAGCTGCAAACAGCTGGTGCCGAGGCCTGCAATGAAAGGCACAAATGAGAGAGTGTCCCGTCGGCACGAATTTTGGACTGTTTGCTGCCTCTGCTGCTTCACTTGATGCTACGCTCGCCAGGGCTCAAGTGTCACTAAGAAAGAACATGAATTCTACTTCATTAACATTAAGCGCTCAGCTCTGGATCTGACCTGCTAGTCTTGCCCACTGTCTTGCCTCTGCATACTTGCGCTGCTGCAACAAAGCCAGCAAAAGCTCGCTGCGCCCCTCTTGCAGTGGCATGTCGACGGTCTGCTGCAGTTGCTGCTGCAGTAGCCTCTGCAACTGCTGCTGCAGCACGGGACTCTCCCCGCTGCAGATAGCGGCAGCATGATGCAAAAGACAAAAGCACTGCGAGTAGCCTACTTCATGCAGCAGCTGCAGAAGCTGCTGCATGCAGGGCCCCTGGGCCAGCAGTAGCATGCGCAGCAGCTCACTGCTAACATGCCGAATGTCTGCTGCATGAAGCGTGTACCCTTCTGGCGGTACAGCGTCCCTTGCAGCAGAACCGTCTACGTCTCCCATGGCAGGTGCACCTGCGTCTGTTTCTGCTGACTTTGGCGCCCCCGCTGCTGCAAGTGCCGCTGTGTCTGCTGCTGCTGCAGCTGCTGCCTGGTGCATGCTGCGGCGGTAAAGCACATAGCGCTTCAGGGCTGCCGCCGCCGTTTTAAAGTGCCGTTGCGAAAAAGCCCTGACAAAGGCACAGTGTGCATGCGCGTGTGGAAGAATATGTGAAGCTTGTTAATGCAGTTTAGAGAATGCATGCAAGCCTGACGCAGCAGCAGCATGTAAGTGTATTCTTATATCTACTTTTGCGTTAGGGAATTTACCTCAAGAAATGCAAAACATGCATTAGAGGGCTCTTCGGGTCAAAAAGGGAAAAGCCCCGCAGCAGCAGCACGAAGCAACCGGCCTCCCCTAAACTCAGTATAAGACCCCAGAGAGTTTCGGCTGTTGCAGAAACCAGAATGCACTCGTCACGAGCTGCAGCACCTGCTGCCGATGCTGCGGCTGCAGCGCCCGTCTGGACCAGCTGCAGCAGACGAGGAAGCATTTCTTGGTGCTGCTGTGCTGGTAGAACAGCTCCGTGCACCTGCATGCGCTGTAGCCCTGCCTGACGCAGCAGCCCAGCAAGCTGCTGCTCCTGCTGCTGCTGCTGCTGCTGCTTTTGATGGTGGTGGTGCTGTGGCAGCAACAGTGCAGCCTGGAGGGCCAGCCATATAGACAGACACTGCAGCAAACTGCAGTCCGAGAAGCAGCTCGCGTACACCGCAAGGCGAGGGCGGCGCAGCCGCAGAGCCTCCCGTAGCAGCTGCAGTCCCAGCTGGCGCTGCTGCTGCTTCTGTCTCGCCTGCGGCACCAAAAAATTCTTCTCATACTGAATTGTGTCCTAGTGGTGTAAATGTAATTAGCAAATAACAGCAGCATAAACCAACGAAGTGGTAGCTGCACAAAGCAGAAAAGTGGCAACAGGAACTCATTTGTAGTGGCAAGCACTAGCAGCCGCGGAAAATTATCACTGCAGCAGCAGAACAGCAAGAACAGCAGCAGTGGTCACATCGTACAGCAACAAGAAGGTAGAGAGGGTCTGAATTGCCCCAGAATGACTCCGGCGCTGCTGCAGCAGAGCGTGAGTTGCTGCTGCAGCCTATCGCTCTCTTCAGGTGCCCTCGCAGGCAGGGGTCAGTGAAATACCTGCAGCAGCACCGGCAGCAGTCAAACTGCCCAAGTGTAGACAGCAGCCGCAGCAACGAGAGCAGCAGTAACAGTAGCAGTAGCAGCAGCAAAAAGCTCACCCGTCTATAACCCCCCGCAGAGTGTCTTTGGGACACCGCTGGAGTTCTGCTTCATGAAGAACAGACAGCCAGTGGCCCTTCCGTGCCAACTCATGCAGCAGCGTCAGCGAATGGGGAAGCTCGTGGGCCCTATAGCAGCAGCAGCAGCAGCAGCGAAGAAGCAAAAACTGCAACATGGAGCGCAGCAGCAGCGTAGCAGCAGCATAGGGAGGTGTTGGGCTCAGGCAGTGGGAGCAGCAGCTGCGAGAACTTCCAGCCTAGCATCTGCAGCAGCAGCGATAACATAGAGACTAGCCTGCAGAAATGTGCAACAAGATGCCACGGGTTAGTTGCCTGTCTCTTGATTGCAGCAGCAGCAGATGTTGCATTCCCCGAAGCTGCCTTTTCTGGGGGGGCGCTGAGGGCCCAAGTGGCTTCTTCTAAAAGGCGGAGAGCTGACAGAAGGTCAGGGGAAGATATGCCCCGGCCGCTCCTGCTGCTGCTGCTGCTGCTGCTGCCAGATTTGGATGAGGGGCGGGGGAAGCCCCGGAAGAGCTGTATGACCGTGGCTGCTGCAGAATCATCGCCTGGCACTGCTGCTCTGCGGTTCGTCGCTTCGGCAGCCGAATTTTGCCGCTGCTGCTGCTGCTGCTGCTTCTGGTGCTCGTAAATGCGGCGCGCGGACTGCGCGTCCACTCTCAGAATGGTGGCGTCGATGCCGCATAATTCCAAAAAAAGGAGACAAGAAGAGACAACTCCTTCATCAAGTAAGTTGCACAGCGCCACGTGAACGGCTGTTTCCTGCAGCAGGTCTGCTTGTTCCGGGGCCAGCGGTAAGACCAGCCCTTCGGAGAAAGTGCTGCCTGCAGCGGCAGGACATGTGCTGCTGCTGCTGCTGCAGCTCCGCTGTGAGCAGCAGCAGCGGCAGCTACTGCGGCTTGCAAGCAGCAAATGAAAGGCAGCAGAGGGACGGCCCTGAGAAAGGAAATATGCCACACTGAAGCCCTCGCTGGTGCTGCTGCGGCAGCTGGAGTCAAGTGCAGCAGCTGCAGTTGCTTTTGGCCCGTGCACACGTTGCAGCAAAGAAGTAAAGGCTTTTCCATTCAAAAAGGACTGCCTAACAGCCAAAGGCAGGGCTTTTGCCGCTGCTGCTGTTGCTGCTGCCGTTGCTGCTGCTGTTGCTGCTGCTGATTCTCGTCGCTCCAGGCCATTTGCTACAGCAGCAGCCCCTGTTACTGCAGCACCGACGGCGACACAGCCATTGGCACTAAAGGACTCAGCGCCTTCGCCAGAACCAACAGCAGCAGCTGCTGCTGCAGCAGCAGCAGCAAATACCTCAACTGGCTCCAAAAGAGACCCAACATCAAGCGAACGGAAACACTCTGAGAGTAAATTTAACAAAGACAGGTCTTTTCTCCATGTCTGCATGTCCATTAAAAACCAAGAGGGGTCCTGCTGCTGCTGCGTCTGCTGCTGCTGCTGCTCTTGTCCCCCAAATGAATGGTAATGGCGTATGCGCCTTTGCTGCTCCAGGACAGAAGCAGCAAAGAGGCAGGTATTCAGGACCACGGGCTTCTCCTGAAGCCGCGTCTTCCCTTCCCGCTGCTGCTGCACCAGATCTTGCGTCTGCTGCTGCTGCTGCTGCTGCTGCTGCAGCTGCATGCAGTCCACAAAGTATGCCCTAGACAACTCCCTGAAGGGCGCCAGACCAAATCTGGGAAAAAATCCAAAAAAAAGGCAACTACAAGAGAAAAGAAAAGCAATTAAGCAACAAAAGCTTTAGCCAGCAAGACAATGGCCGCAAAGTAAACAAAGAAAGCTTTAGCCAGCAAGACAATGGCCGCAAAGTAAACAAAGAAAGCACCAGTAAACGGAAATAAACGGAGAGAGAACGGACAGATAGAGACAGGCTGAGGAAGAGAGAAAGAGGTATGTCTATACAAAAGAAGAAATAAAATTGAGATAAAAAATAAAATAAAGCACTTAAAAGGGAAGTACTTAGTGGACAACAAATGGCTGCTTGGTGCTGCTTACCGCAAGTCTGCACGGGAAACAGAAAAGAGGTGCCCGTGCCCCTCGCTGCTACCCCGGGGATCCGCTGCTGCTGCTGCTGCTGCTGCTGCTGTGGTTTCTGCTGCTGCTGCGGTTGATGTTGCAGCAGGAGGCTGCGGGATAAAGGCCAGGAGTGAAACTAACATGGGCGGAGAGAGACGGGAGACAGCCGACAAAGGCAAAAATGGTGTTCCCTCGGAGTCCTTGCAAACAAACGAGTCCCCTGAAGAAAACGCATTTGCAAATCCATCCAGTTAAAGTGCTAACATTTAAATCTGGAGCCCTAGATGAATACACACAAGAGCTGCAGCAGGCTGAGAGCAGCTGCTGCTCGTTCCGCTGTCCTTGCTGCAGCTGCTACGGCAAGTGAAACGAAGCAGCAGCAGCACTAGCAACAGCAGCAGCAGCAAACCTCGGGGGCAAAGCTGGGCTGCTGCTTGATGCATTCCTGCTGCTGCCAGCGCGTGGTTTCCCAATCGGCCTAGCAAGGCCACAGTCACCCAGTGAAGGGTGCTGCTGCCGCTGCTGCTTGTGCTGCTGCTGCTGCTGCTGCTGCTGCTATTGTTGTTTCTAGCTCGAATGCTGGCTTTTAAGAGCTGCTGAGCTTCAAAGTCATTCCCCAAGCAGAAGTGCTGCGGAGGTGCAAAAGATAGAAAGAACCGAGGACAGATTTACGGATTGAACAGATGAACTTCACACAGACGAGGCAGAGCGAGAGCGGCAGCAGCAACAGCAGCAACAGCACCAACAGCAGCAGCAATAGCAGCACTCTTTAATGTCACAGAGAGGCACACAACAAAAGCAAAAGACAAAGCAGAGAGGAAGTTCGCCAGGAAGCACTTGTAGCAGTTGCAGCAGCAGCAGCAGCAACAACAGCAGCAAAAGGCAGCTGAGGCACCTCCAGGTAGGAAAGAAGCAAAGAGGGAAGCGTGTTGGACAGGCACAGCTGCATGACGAAGAGGTGCAGAGGCGACAGAGACCCCACAGGCAGCATTTCGGCCGCCGCCTCGAGCTGCGGCTGCTGCTGCCGCTGTTGCTGCTGCTGCGGCGGCAGAGACTGCTGCTTCCTAAACAGTCGGCCAGCCTTCGCGTGTCTCTGAAGCAGCAAAGCCAGAACTGTGTCGTCGTGCTCTGCACCAGCTGCTTCCCTTGCTGCTGCTGCTGCTGTTGGAGCCTCTAAAAACAGACCCCGCCTTGCAAGCTGCTGCAGCAGCAGCTCGTCAAGGAAGGCCGACTCCCCCCCTTCTCTGCGTCTTCGTAGAAAGGAAAGGATCCGCTGCAGCAGCGCGAGCCTCTTCATCTTGCCTTTGCTGCTGCTGCTGCTGCCAGCAGCAGCAGCAGCAGCAACCAGTTTAAGGCGCCCCCAAGGGTCGCAGGTAACAGTGGGGTGCAGCGGCAGCTCAGCCACGCAAAGGGCCACTCCCCGCCAATCACAATGCGCCAGACAAAAAGAGAAAAGACATTTCCAGACCAAAGCACTCTTGATGCCTTCAGAAATGCCGAGATACCGAGCAGCAACCTCCCACAGTGTGTGCAGCCCTTGCTGCTGCTGCTGCTGCTGCTGCTGCGGCTGAGGCTGGCGTTTTCTGCTGCAGCTGCGGCGCGACGGAGACCGCAGACTGTGCACGAGCTGCACATGCCGCTTCTCAGCAAATATGCGCAAAATGCTGCTGGGTTTGAGAAGAGACAACTCGTAAAGAGACAGGCTCATGTAGCCGCCAAGAGATGCACTGGCAGCAGCAGCTGCTGCTGCTCTTGCTGAAGCACTTCTCCCGCCGGGGGGAGCAGCAAAGACAGACAGCAGGTCCGGCTCGCTCGCTATCAGGCGGCTGCATTCTGAGCAGGTCCCCCTGAAGCCACGCAGCAGCAGCAGCAGCAACAGCAGCAGTAGCAGCAACAGCAGCAACAACATCAGCAGCACAAGTCAGGATACAGACGTGCACCGGCGGGCCAAGTACTGATGCTTTTGTCCCTCATTTATGTTGTTGTTTAAACAAATGCGAAGAAGAGAAATCACTTCCTCAAGAAAGAAAACGAAACCAGCAAACACAGTACAGACACACTGACACGGGCGCTGCTCAAACAGCAGCACAGCAACAGGAAGCAATTCGGGGGCAAAATAAGGAGACAAAAAGGGAGTTTTGAAAATTAATTGCAATCGGGAGGAGAGTCTAGCTGCTATGGGATTGTGTCTTCCACTTATTTTGAAGTTTCTGCTGGTTTTCCCTTGGCAGCATTTCCTTATCTGGTTTGTTGCTGTGTCTGTGCTGCGCCTTGCCTGAGATTCGCCCGCAACAGGAAGCTGTGCTGTTGCTGCTGCTGCTGCTGCTGGTGAGAGTCCGCTGCTGCAGCAGTCGCTGCTTGGTGCAGCTGCAGCACATCAGCCTCTACTTCAGTTGCGGCCTTCCACTTGCGCCCTCCGTGGAGTGTTGCACTGCTGCCGCCCGGGCCCTGGGACAGCAGCAGCTGCTGCTGCAGCAGTTGCTGCTGCGGATGCAGCCCTTCATCGCCAACGCTGCAGTCTCGGCTACAGCTCTGGGCAGCAGCAGCAGCAGCAGCAGCAGCCGCGAAACCCGAGAAGCAGCACTCCGCGAGGTCTGGTACCTCCCCGGAACCCATATGGGCCCAGGCCTGCAGCACAGAAACAGCAACATTGGTTGCTGTTGCTGCTGCTGCTGCAGAGTAGCTGCAACATGGAGCTGCAAATGCCTGCAGCGCTGCTGCTCCAGTTTGTAGTCAGTGCCTGGCCATCCACTGCAGCACGCCTGTAAAGGCAGCAGCAGCAGCAGCAGCAGCACAGCCACCACCACCGCCACCACCAACAGCAACGGGAGAAGCAGCAGCAGCAGAAGCAACGTGCGAAAAGAGGAGAGTGGGAACATATTATTGTTTATGGCAGATCAAGATGAAATTGAGGTGAGTCGCACACTGCTGGAAGCCAGTCTGGATGCCGGCAGCAAAAAGTGACAGCAGCAAAAAGTAACAAGCAAACTGCATCGCGCGGGAAGTAGCACCATGAGCAGCAGCGGCTGCTGCAGCAAAGCAACAGCACCAAGGAGTCTGTACCCTGAGAGCCTCTTTGGGGTATCTTTCCGGAGTGAAAACAGGAGGCGCTTCTGCCGCCTCAGCTTTGCTGCACCCTGAAGAGGCCAGCAGCAGCAGCAGCAGCAGCAGCAGCATCAGAAGCAGCAGCAGTCACGGGGCGGCGCGCCTCAGAACCAACAACCGCATGCAGAGAAAGCCCCAGGCCGTGTGGGCATTCTAGGGCAGCCTCCCGGCTGCTCCCTCCATCTTCCATTTTTTAAAATATATTAATTATCCTTTTCTGATAAATGCCTTTGTGCCGGCTCCAGTTGATGCGTCTTTCTTTCTTTTGCTGCTGCTGGTGCTGCTGCAGCAGCAGCAGCTGCTGCTGCTGCTGCTAGCTTTTTTGTCTCAGCTGTCCGTCTATCGCTGCGACTGCGCACATCTGCGTTTGCTCCCTTTTTCCGTGTTTTGTGTTTTTTTCTGTTTGCTATAATTTATCTTTATGGCATTGCGCCCATAATTTCTATCTCTGAGGGTCACTCTTGCCTGTGAAGAAGCTTCTGTCGCCGAGCGTCGTGTGCTGCTGTGTCTGCTGCTGCGGCTGTTGCTGCTGCTGCTGCTGCAGAATTTGCCTCCGTACTCGCAGCGAAACATAGCCCTCACACAGCGCCCCAGCAATGATGGCTGCGCTGCCCCCGGCGGGCCAGCAGTCCTCTGGAGCATCTGCACCTGCAGTAGGGAACTGGCTGCTGCTGTTGCTGCTGTTGCTGCTGCTGCTGCCCAAGCTCAGCATATCTCTTGCTGTGTCTCTGCTAGCACCTTCAGTTGGGAGTGCCACGCAACTTGCATCATCCTCTGTTGCAGCGGCCCCTGTGCCTGCTCGCGCAGCTGCTGCTGTGTCTGCTGCTGCTGCGTCTGCTGCTGCTGCTGCTATGGAGGAATATCTCCTGGCCAGCTCAGCATCGTAGGAAGGATTCGTAAAGAGCAGCTCCAGGACCTGCAGCAGCAAACACATTGACGCAGCAGCTGTGAGATGCGGGCACTCCTGGCTAGTTACAGCAGCAAATCAAGGGGTAGCGACTGTCCAGTTGCCGCATGCAGCAGCAGCAGCAGCAGCAACAGCAAATCAGGACCTGCATAATGCGGATCAGCTTCATGTGCGCAGGCTGCAGCTGCTTCTGGTGATAAAGGTGTCGCAGCAAACGGCAGCGGACAGGCGTGCGCGTTGTCAGCAGTGCAGCTCGTAGACAGAAACCTGGAATGTCCGCCTGCAGCAGCAGCAGCAGCAGCAACAAAGACAGCAACAGGGGATGCAAATGCAGTGCAGTGCAAGAGACTGCCCAGAAGTAGCTCGTGTTGCTGCAGCGAAATGGCAGCGGCAATAGTGGCTGGAAGCAACAGCACCGGCAAGCAGCAGCAGCAGCAGCAGCGCTGACGCACAGTAGCACCAGCAGGCAACTCAGCCCCTATAACTGAGGCTGCCCAACAGCACTAGCAGCAGCAGATAAGAGCCGCAAAGAATGGTACACGAGCAACGGGAGGGGGCAGCAGCAGACAGCAAAAGACAGCAGCAGCAGCAGCAGCAGCTGACGCCGACCCCGATTTGGCGCAGCATTTGCAGCCCCACGAAGAAAAGCTCCGCCTGCTGGCAGCAGAAAAGCCTATAGGCCATTCGGTTAGCCACTTGCTGCAGAAGGTCCATCGCAGATACACGGTGCTGCTGCTGCTGCAGCTGCTGCTGCAGCCACAACAAGCCTGTGCTGATGCGTCCACTTAGCAGCGTTTCCCTGACAACAGTTTCTATGGAGGCTTCAGGTCCCCATGGCACTTCGGAGTCTTTTTGAGTAACAGCGAATCTTTCTTGTTGCTGCTGCTGCTGCTGCTGCGTGTCTGTGCGCAGTAGCGTCACCTGCTGCTGCTGTTGCTGCTGCTGGATTGACTGCTTTTGCGCATCGGCAGCTGCTGATACGCGTTGCTGCAGCCACCTCAAGAGCTGCACGTAGAGAGCAAGCTCTGAGAGCTCGTCAGTTAGCTGCTGCTGCTGCTGCTGCTGACTGTTGGGTGCAGCAGCAGCTGCTGCTGCTGCAAGGTCAATCTTCGCCAGCACTCGCACATCGGTGAGTGAAACAGCAAACCGCAACAGCCGCAGCAGCAGACGCGAGCTGAAGCCTATATCTAGCATTGATGCTGCTTCGCACTGCAGCAGAACATCTGCAGGGGGTCTTGCTGCTACCACTGCTGCTACTGCTGCTGTTGCTTCTGTGTTTGCTGCTGCACGCCAAGGAACTACCAAAGACACCAAAGACGCCGGGAAGGCAACGCTGATCTCGTTGCTGCTGCTTCTGCTGCTGTCGCTGTTGCTGCTGCTGTGCACTTGCTTTACGTTACGGCGATCCCTCAGCTGGTGCAGCTCGGCCGAGCACTGCTGCTGCTGCTCCTGCTCCTGATACCGGTGTAGCGTCTGCAGCAGCAGCAGCGCATGCTGAGCAACAGCAGTGGAGTCATAGATGAGAGGCGCAGCCGCAGCAGCGCCGGGAGCTGCTGCAGCTGAATTTGCCGCAGCAGCAGCAGCAGGATCAGCGCGCAGTTCCGCTGCTGCAAATGCCAAAGGCAGCGCCTCTGCGCTGTATCCATTAAAGACAAAAACCATCAGCAGCCGCATGGCTATCATTTGCTGCTGCTGCTGCAGCAGAGCTAGGGCCTCTTGCATGCGCTTGAGGTCCCTGCAGCGGAGCGACAGCTGCAGCAGCAGCAACGCGACTTGACTGCTATCGAGGCCGTTCTGCATGCAAAAGGCTGCTGCTGCTTGTGGCCCTTCCATCAGCAGCACACGAGACAGCAGCTCCAACATGCTGCTGCTCCCCACAGCAGCAAATAGCAAGCCGCTGGGGTGCCGCAGCAGCGCAGCACGGCAGCAGCAAGAAACGATCCCCAGACCCCTCCCCGCAGAGACGCACAGCTGCACTGGCAGCTCCCCGCGGGGCAGCTCTTGCTGCTGCTGCTGCTGCTGCTGTCTTCTGCCTTTGCTGCTCTCTCGCTGCAGCCCCCACGGCGAGAACGGGCTGCTGCTGGAAGCGCCCTGTGCAGCAGCAAGTGCAGACGCAGGTAAGGCAGCAGCTGCAGCAGCAGGTGCAACAGAACCAAAAGGCCCAAAAAACGTTTTTGTGCCGCCGTCGCAGCCAGAAAAAGGCCACTTGATGAGCCAGCACCTGTACGAGACGCTGCAGTAAGAGCCTCTGCTGCTGCTGCTGCTGCTGCTGCTCCTGCTATTGCTGCTGAGTTTCCAGCTGCTGCTGGGCCTCCTGCTGCTGCAGCAAGGAATGCCTTCAACGAAAATGAATGCATCGCTCGGAAAAATGCGCAAGCGCGTGGTGCGACAGCAGCAGCAATGGTGGCTGCAGCTCTCTTCAACTCCGCGGTTGCTGCAAGTGCTGCTGCACTTGCCGTCGCTGTTGCTGCTGCCGCTGCACTCGCCGTCGCTGCTGCTGCTGCTGCTGCTGCTGCTCCGCGGACCACCTGAAACAACGCGCTGAGCGACGCGCCCCGTAGTCTGCAGTGAGAGGACCTCATCAAGCAGCAAGGGCGTGTTGCTGCTGCTGCTGCTGCTGTTGCTGCTGCTGCAGTGGAAAGGCAAAACTGCTGTGTACAGCCAGGGGGGCCGCGCCTCCATCATTGCACGCTGGCGCTGCGCCTGCTGCAGCCTTGCTGCTGTTTCGTGAAGCCGTTGAATCCGTGTTTGCCGCTGCTGCTGCTTTTGCTGCTGTTGCTCGTGTTGCTGCTGCTGCTGCTCACTGGCAAAGGAAGCCAGCAGCTCAACGAGCTCCCCATCGCCGCAGCAAGACAGGCAGCCGGCTGGCGCGTCGTCAGCAGCTACTGCAGCACCCTGCATGCAGCAGCAGCCCCGGCAGCAGCAACAGCAGCAGCAGCATATGCAAGCATTGCTGCTCTATACGGTGAACTCGCTTATAGGGAAACGGCCTCCCTGTGTCTATACCTTTCCTGCTGCAGAAGGAGCAGCAGTTGCTGCTGCCGCTGCTGCCGTAGTAGCAGCAGCAGCCGCAGAAGCGGCAGTGGAAGCGGCACCAGCAGCAGGAGCAGCAACAGGATTTCTAGCATCAACTGCAGCACTGGCAGCGTAGTAGCAGCAACGGCAACAACTGCAGCAGAGTCAGCAGCAGCAGCAGTAACAGCAGCAGATTCGACAGCAGCAGCAGCTTACCAAGGCGCATGCATCCATCAAAGTCTCAAGCTCAGTTAGAAGGGGACTTGCGTCTGCTGCTGGGCCTCTAGTGCTGCTGCAGGAGGGCTGCAGCTGCAGTAAGTGCAGCGGGAAGTCTTGCTGCAGCAGCTGCACCTCTCGCCACGCCTGCTGCCCGACAGGCTGCTGCTGGAGCTCGTAGGGAGGCAGCAACCAAGACACTTGCTGCTGCTGCTGTTGCTGCTGCTCCTTCAGCTGCTGCAGCTCTACCCTTGCTGCAGGCCAGCTAAAGGCATTGCTGTTTCCATTCGCTGCTTCGCTGCTGCGGCAGAACCTTTCGTACTGCTGCAGCAGCTGTTGTTGCTGCAGCAGCAAAAGCGCGCGTGTCTCTTGCTGCAGCAGCGCTAGCTGCAGCTCTTCACAGAGCTGCTGCGCCGCCTGTTGCCTATCTATCTGCTGCTGCTGCTGCTGGTATCTGTGCTGCTGCTTCTTCACGACAACCTGCTGCACGAAGCGAAGAGCCTCAGGGGAGACAAATACAATGGCACTCTGCGTGGTGTTGCTATTGAAAAGCTCCTTCCTGCTGTCGCTGCTGTTGCTGTTGCTGTTGCTGCTGCTGCTGTTGCTGCAGCTGCTGCTGTTGCTGCAGCTGCTGCAGCTGCTGCAGCTGCTGCTAAGTGAGGATAGTCCAGCAGGCACAATGGGGTCCCCTCGTCTTGCTGTTGCTGAGATAAAGGCGCATGCCTTGAGCAGCTGCTTGTACACTTTTGCAGGCGTCTCAGCAGCAGCAACAGCTGCAGCAGCAGCCGCTGCAGCAGCAGAAGGTGCAACAGCAGCAGGTGCAACAGCTGCAGGCGCAGCAGCAGAAGCAGCTGCAGGTGCAGCAGCTGCAGGTGCAGCAGCTGCAGCAGCAGGAGATGCAGCAATTGGCAGGCGTAAAGCCAGGAGGCCAAAAGCTGCTGGGAAAGCAGAAAGAGCAGCAGCAGCTGGCAGCAGCTGCTTCCTTAGAGGCAGCCCTTCTGCTGCTCTCTCCCTCTCGCCGCAGGGGGCGCCCCCCATGGTGTTTGCTGCTGCGTTACCCCAGCTAGCTGCTGCTGCTGCTGCTGCTGCTGCTGCAGCAAAGTAAACCCTCAAAGCAACAACACGAAGACAGTTCCTGCTGTCTCCAACGACCAGATAAAGAGAGTCTTGGCTTACGCGCACAGACAGCAGCACCACCGGCAGCTCTTCGGCTGCTGCTGCGACGCAGCAGCAGCAGCAGCAGCAATGGCAGCAGCAGCACTGCTTGCTGACGACGGAGTTGTTCCCCTCGCCGGTCACGCGTTCACTGCTATTTTGCTGAGATAGCCGTTGCTGCTTTTGCTGCTGCTGCTTTTGCTGCTGCTGCTGCTGCTGCTGCTGCTGCTGCTGCTGCTGGGGGTCGTAGAGAGGCAGCTCAATTGCATGCACTGCCACTCCTGCAGAAACACTCCAAATGAGGACTTGCTGCAGCGGCGGCGCCGTTAGGGCGTACAGGTAAAAGGAGCAGCAGCACACATCGACAAACCGCTGCAGCGGCAGCTGCCTGCTGCTGCTGCTGCTGCTGCTGCTGGAAGCAGCAGCAGCGGGAACTAACACAGGCTGCTGCAGCAAAAAGCGGCGCTTTAGAAAGACGCCAGATGCGCCAAGCTGCAGCCGCAGACACACAGCATCATTTAGCAGCAGCAGCAAATCGCTGCGCCCGCTCACCAGCAGCCTCCATGTCTCGCTGCTGCTGCTGCTGCTGCTGCTGCTGCTGCTGCTGCCATATGGTGATGCCGCAAGAGCTGCTTCTCTCTGCTTCTGCTGAGGGGGGCGAACGCAGGGATCTGCGAGGGCACTGAGGACGCTGAGGGGAAAAGAATACATTAGAATGCAATTGCTGCTGCTGCTGCTGCTGCTGCTGCTGCTGCTGCTGCTGCTGCTGCTGCTGCTGCTGCTGCTGCTGCTGATGCTGCTGCTGCTGCTGCTGCTGCTGCTGCTGCTGCTGCTGCTGCTGCTGCTGCTGCTGCTGCTGCTGCTGTCGCCGTTGCTGTTACTGCTGCTAAGCTCCTTCTCTAAGTCCCACTGCAGCAACAATAAACTGTCTCCCTGAATATCTGTAGCATCAACAAATGAAACCCCTTGCCAGAATCTGCTGTTGCTGCAGCTGCCTTCTGTGTTGCTGCTGCTGTTACTGTTGCTGCTGCTGCTGTTGCTGCTGCTGCTCTTTAGCTGAAGGGCCTTCCAAGGGAGGAGAAAAGCATCAGGTGTACATACACCGCGAAATACAAACAACTGCAGCGAGTCGGAACCGAGACTGCATAGTACCTGTGACCGTTGCTGCTGCTGCTGCAGTTGCTGCTGCTGCTGCTGCAGTTGCTGCTGCTGCTGCTGCTGCTGCTGCTGGGTGAACAAAACAGGCGGCAACTCAGCCCAAGCAGCGGCAGAGCAATCGTGCATCAGGACCCCCTTTTGCCCCGCTTTTCTGCTGCAGTTGCTGCTGCTGCTGCTGCTGCTGTTGCTGCCGCTACTGCTGTTGCTGCTGTTGCTGTTGCTGTTGCTGCTGCTACTGCTGCTGCTGCTACTGCTATTGCTGCTGCTCCTGCTGTCGCTGCTGCTGCTGCTGCTGTTTCTGCTGATGCTGCTGCTAAGGCATCTATTATCTGCTTCTGCCAGTCCGCATGGGAGCTCCACCCCCCGCCAGCGGAAGCCTCTTGCTGCTGCTGCTGCAGCAGCAGCAGCAGGGCCAGCAGCAGCACCCGACTGGGGAGCGGCAGCAACAAAGCAACGCAGCAGCCCGCTACAGCTGGAGGCTAGCTTGCAAACTCCATGCTGCTGCTGCTGCTGTTGCTGCTGCTGCTGTTGCTGCTGTTGCTGTTGCTGCTCTTGCTGGCAGGGCTGTTCCTGTTGCCCCTTGGGGGCGCCGCTGCCATTTGTGCTGCTGTAGCTGCTGCTGCCATCGTTAGCATCTGCGGGGCTGCTGCAGCCGCAGCAGACGCTGCTGCTGCTGCTGCTGTTGCTGCTGCTGCTGCTGCTGATGATAGCTATAAGGGTTTGGTCTTGAGAGTAGAGGGTGTCTTTTCCTTTGGGAAGTTTTCCAGCAAAAGCACCAACTCGAATAAAACGAACACTTTCAGCTGCAGCAGACTTTTCCCAGCTGCTGCTGCTGCTGCTGCTGCTGCTGTTGCTGCTGCTGCTGCTGCTGTTGCTGCTGCTGCTGCTGGTGCTGGGAAGGTGGGATCCCCCAACGCGAAGCGACAGGCTCGTGGTGTCGCTGTTGTATGACGGAGGAGGGACAGCAGCAGCAGCAGCAGCAGCAGCAGCAGCACCAGCAGCAGCAGCAGCACGTGCTGCTGTGGCAGCACCAGCAGCTGATGCTGCTGCGGGAGGTGCTGCTGCAGCTGCATGGAGCACTGCAGCGGCTGACTGGCCTGCAGGGGAGTCTGCTGCTAGGGCATCAGCATCAGCAGCAGCAGCAGCAGCAGCATCAGCAGCAGCAGCAGCATCTGCTGCTGCTGCTGATGATGCTGCCGGCGCTGCTGGCGCTCCAACGACTACAGCC